TTATATTTTTTTTTATGTGTGACTTAAAAAATATAAATTCATACATTAAAATAAGTTTTGAGTGGTTTAAATCATATTCTATCATAAATAATGATTCAAAAAAATTGATAGATTATTCTCATATAATATAATAATTAAAAACATAATAATATTAATTAATTAATAAGAAAATCAAATGAACACATAGTTGTCCCCTTCTATTTGTAGTACTAGGTTTTGGTTGAGGTTAGTGACATATGATTTCTTAGATTATATACATATAAAATTAGATTATTATTTGTTTACTTTATCATAATTATGTGTCTTTTTTAAAAAATAATACAACAATAAATATAAGATAAATTTTATATATTATAGTGAAAAAGTTTATATTTTAAAAATAATACATTAATTTCAAAAAGTTATAAATATAATTTTTAAAATAAGCAATTGTTTTTTTTTAAAGCTTAATAGTTTATATTTCACTCTTTGTATATTTATGTATTTTTATTAAGATATTATGTTGTAATTAATATGTATGTGTCATATAATTAATAAAGTATACGTATTTTATTGGAGAAAAAATTTAAAATTTTTCTGACTTTGTCCGTGTCAATAAATAATTAAAAATATCTCGACTTTTTTAGAACAAATCTGGGTCAAATAGCAATAATTCGAAGTACTTCTTTATAAAATATTTTAGAAACCCAAGAACTCAACCATATGGGCATGCAAAATGCAAGATTTTCAATTCTAGCAGGAAAATGAGAGAAATAGATACTCAATTTAAAAAGAGTAAATAAAGTTGCATACTCGATCTCATAAATACACGTAGAATTCTGTAGAAAGCCGTACTCAATAAAAGTCGTATGTACGATGTGGAGGGAGATCGTCCGAAATCCATCATGCAATATGGGATCAAAAAGCCAAAATAAACAATTTTAGTTCTTATAAAAAGAAAATTGATTCTTGAACTCATTTCACATCCGTGTCATGTCGAGCTACCGTAAAATAAAAAATTGTAAAATTCGATTCGATTTATCGTAATCGATTATTCAACATGTTAGTTAACTGTATTCTGAAATATATATATAAAAAAAAAAAAAAATTTATTGGTTCATCAAATTATCTATCGAGTTTTGGAAAAGTGATTGTTTTTATTTTAATAAATAATTTAAAATATTCGTATGATTTTTAATAAATTTTAAATTAAATGGGTGTTTTTATTTTAATATTTAAATTTTTTTAAAAAATAATTTATTTAATAATAAATAATTAAAATATTTAAAAATTAAAAAAAGAAAAAAGGAATGATCTAGAAGGTTAATAATTATGTGGAAAGAAGAGCAGAAATAATGATATGATTTGACAAAGGCTGTTGCTTGCTTGGTAAGCACTCACTTTTATAATAATAATAATAATATTAATTAAATATAATTTAATATTTAAATTTTTTTTTTTTTTTTAAATAAATAAATTTGTCAAGTTGGGAGACATCTGTCAGGTCTTGTCAAAACAGTCAAATCTTAGGACTCTTTCTTTTCTCACATAAACCGACGGCTGAGATTTAATCAATCATCACCGCTCTTCCTCTGTCGCTGACGTCACCTTCCCGTTCTAATTTTTTTTTTTTTTTTTTTTTTCTTCATACACAATCAAACTGTTACTCTTTCTGTCGTCTTCCTATTTTCTCAGTTTTGATTCTCCAAGCTTACCAAAAATCTATGGAAAAATCTATTCTCCTCCCATTTTCTTCTTGTCATTTTCCGATTTGGATTCCGAGAAAATCTAATTTTCTCTCTCATTTTCTCTCTCTGTCCGACTGCGACGGGAGAAGATAATTAGAACTGGGAGCTTCTTAAAATCAAAGATTTAAGAGGATGAGAAGAAGTATTTTAAGTTTAATTTGATTTCTTTTAATCATTAGTTTAAGAGTTTTATCAAAACTTTAGAGCTTGATTTCAATTAAATTTAACCCGGGTAAAAGTCGGGTTATACGATTTCGTTGTAACGACAGTTTAATTTTTTTTTATATTACAAAATTTTATAGTCTACGCTAATCGTGTGCGAGAATATTCAACTAAGTGATAACCCGTAACACGTC